ATATTTTGGTGTGTACAGACAGAGAGCTTCAGCTTCCTTTTGCATAGTTATCAGCAGGCTCTTGCTATTTTCCCTAGACCAGCTTCCCTAGTTTCTTTGCAAAGTGTATATGTCTGCAGGGAGGCACTTTCCAGCTGGAAAGCATTTCTTTATACGTGTAGTACATACTTGGGCTGCTGCTCCTTTTCCTTCCAGCCCCCCAGGCAAACACTCACTAAAGGCCATGCCTACTGACTGTTTAAAAAGTAATACAGACCCATATCTGGGGTGAGTTTCTGCCTCCAGAGAGCCACAACGCTTTAGGGGTCTGGTGACAAAGTCCAAAGAAATAAGATGACCAAACTTGCAATAAAGTTCAAACAACTCCTCCCCAGCATTTATGCTGGGGTTCCAGGCTGCCCCCAGTCATCTGAAGGTACCACCCAATTAACACGTGAGCGACTAACAACAGCTCCAGCTCTCTTGCCCTCAGAGAAGGAGCCTGTTTATTGTCCAACCCCCATTCCCAGTATGCCCTATACACATTCCAGCAGTCCTTCTTAGGACCACTCATCCAAGGCCTCCCTCCAGATGGCTGACAGAGAAGGGAGCTTTGCTGCACCTACACTTCAAGACTCTGGTCCCACACAGACAGATAGTCTTGGACCACAAACTGCCACCTAGGACTACCTCCTCTCTATTAATGGCTGCTTCATTTCCTGGGTCTCTCTGTAATAAACCTCCTGGAATGGATAGCACAGCCCCAGATAACTCCTTCCTCAGTCTTAAAGGGCCAGTACATCACATTATACCCATCCTAGTTTAGTTTGTCATGTTGCTATATCACAGCACGTTCTTCTGGCTCACAATTTTCAGGACACTTTGTTAGTCTTGCAAGACTAGCTTTTTAACTGGGGTTAATCTGCAAAAGAGGGGATGGACGGCAATCCTATAATCCAGCTGTTTGTATCAACGGAAGAGGCACAGCAGCTCAGGAGCTAGGAATGTAAGACTCGAGTCTAGAGATGGAATTGCCCATGAATTCAAAGGTACAGTTGCTTTAAGTTATGCATTTGAACCTGTATTTCTTTAACTGGCCAGTAAAATCAAAACAGTGATCGGACAGCACAGACTCTCTCCACTGCACATAATTCTAAGTAAACTTCTCCCTGGAAATAATTGTTTTGGCTTTTTACAGGCACTGTGCTTCACTGAACTGTCTGCATACACTTTTCAGCCATCACAATTTGTTTAATCTGTTCTATGAGCCATACGAGATAGAGACAAAGCTGTTATAGTTCACTAGTCTGTATGAAGGGTAACTGAAATTTCTATTAGCTAGAAAAACCCAAGCAAAGCATTACGATGCTTAACAGGAAACCCTCTACATGAACTTGAGGCAGGATGTAAAATACAAATGAGACATTCTCTCATAAAGTAACCACTCATTAAAAAGGTCCACATTTCTTAACAAGCCAGTGCAAATTACCAGGTACACACAGCTTTCATTTTTAGCACAATCCAGTTTCTGTTGCAATTTAAGTTTGACTCATTCACAGAAAAGGCATGGCCACAATTTTAGTGCAAAATGATAAGTCAGTCATTCTTCTGTGGCTCTGCTGATCTGTGGCTCTCTGCTCCCTAGTGCTAATGCTGCATGCTGATTTGTTGGTTTCATTTCATTCTTCACATTTCTCTCTGATTTAGGGTCAGGAGTTTCTTTGATATCCTTAAGTTTATATTACAAAATTAAATCTGTGGGCACATTTGACCACTTCAAACAGGAGGGGCATTTTTTTTTTTAACTCTTCATGTACTTAAGTCCTTCAGAAGGGGTTTTCCCACAAATCCTTACCAGCTTAACTTTCTGCTGTGATTTTATGAGCCTCAATATGCTGTAACAAAGATGCAGCTTAAACACTACTGTGCTCCATTAGTAGCCTTAACATTGCTTCAAAACCAAGGGAAATGATGTCATGTGTAAGGCTGTATCTACATTACAAGCACTACAGTGGCACAGCTGTAGCAACACTGCTGTAGCACTGCAGTACAGACACTTGCTTCAGTGACAAAAGGGGTTTTTCTGTCACTGTAGTAAATCCAACCTCTTGAGAGGTGGTAGCTAGGTCGACAGACAAATTCTTCCGTTGACCTAGTGATGTCTAAACTGGGGCTTAGATCAGCTTAACAACATCTCTCAGGGGCATGAAAAATTCCTGAACGATGTAGCTAGGTCGCCCTAAGATTTAGATGTAGATGAGGCCTAAGTCTGAATCAGAGACCTTATTTCAGTGTGACTTTGCAATTTCTCACTGTAAGTTATACAGTCATTCTAAAAATGTGAATCTGCCCCTGCCCCATCTTCCTCCATCCCTTGGCGTCCTCCCACCTCTTTTTCTAAATATCTGTCTATGGTACCTACATGCTCCCCCCTCCCCCAACCACCCACCCACCCATTACTGAAGCATCTGAGCACCTCACATTCTTTCAATGTAGTTCTCTTCAGCACCCCATGAGGTAGTAACATAGTATTTATCCACATTGAGCACTGAGGCACAAGACAGACTGATTTGCCGAAAGTCACCCAGGAAGTCTGTAGTGGAGCAGGAAATTGAACGCAGGTCTCCCAAGTCCCAGGCTAACCACTACACCAGTAAGTCCTGAACTTTTTCATGCCGTGACCTCCTTTGCGCTCATATCTGTTAACGCAACTCCCTGGTACTTAGTATTCAGGCTGGCTTTGCGCAAACAAACACTCCACCTTACACAGTCTAAATGGAAAACTACGGGTGGGTAGCCAGGCCCAGATTAACCACTGTGAGCTTGGTGCACTTACTTACACAGGGGCACCAACTACCAGACTAAACAAAAAGAGGCGGCAATTGAAGGCCCGGGGGCCATATTCAACCTGCCAGATCATTTTATTTGGTCCTCCACCCCGCATGCTGGAATGGGGGGGAATCCCCACCTTTCCTGATCTCACTGCATTGGTCCTGCATCCACCACATGGAGCTTGGGACCTTCTGCTAGCCATAAAAGGCATGATGCTGTTGCAAGAGCACAATATTGCTCCGGGAGCAGATGGTGTTACCCAGCTGTCTGCTTAAGCTTTCTTGCATTTTCTCCCCTCCCCTCCCCCTAATCTCACAGCCCATCTGGTGACCTCTGCATCATGACCCACAGTTTGGGAACCCCTGCACCAGACCATCCTTCCTCTCTTCAAGTATATCAGTCTCATAAGTCATGCAATGTATTACTAAGATAATTACTGGTGTGCAGTAGCTAACCCCCAGACATTGGAGGAAGTATTCTTTATCATTACAACTGATCCGAACACAAAGCCAATCACAACAGAGTTCTACGTTTGCCAAGCCACCTCTTGGTTCAAAATATTACTATTTTCCCTTAGATCATAAAGCCTTTTGCACCTCCTCTTGCAGACAACCATACGTACTGCAACTGCACATCACCTGACCAGAGGCCAGAACAAGTCTTTTGAGAGATGCCAGTACCAAACTACGGACTGGGTGGCTGGAAACATGCAAGGAACAAAGTCCAACTAAACGGTGCTGAGATTAAAGTAATTTAGGGGTTTTGGAACCCTAGTACCTTGAAGTCCAACCATCCTACACTCAGATTGAAGGAGCAGAGAAGTTAGCCTGCTGAGAGGGGAGTGAGAATTGGAGAAACTAGGGACATGCAGGAGTTATGAGTGGATGGGAATGTGAAATGAACCATAGCAGGGCTGGAACATAGGCTTCACTCCTCTCTGGTGGAAGGAAATCTGACACTGCTACTGGTGTTTGAATCAGGACAGAAAGGGGGGGGGGGGAAAAAGGTGATTTAATTCAAAGGAACTCAAAATAGTTAAAATGCAGACATTTAATAATCTTTATTAATGCTGATAATGTACTGTAAATGATATTAAGATCCCAAAATGCTTGCCATACTCTACACAAAATACATTTATCCAAACATCCTGCTTCATCATCAAAATGCAGCCACATCTGTGGCAGGAAGCCAGGATCTTTGAGCAGCATATAACAGGGCAGAAGGGACGTATGCTTTATGAACTGAAAGTACAAATGAATGTTAGGTAGGTTAGAATGAATAATCACTCAATTTTAGCTGGGACCCTAGGTCAAAATCTTGGCTCTTGCAAAAAGTGCCAAAAATAATTAATAATCAGTATTTGAAAGATTGCACCTTCAGTAATACAGTGTTGGCAGCACTGTGACAGGGCACAGATTCAGAAGATGATTACCTCTGAAAGAATCAAGCTTGTGAGAATTTATCATCAACATTTTAGGTAACTTGTCCAAAGATATTAAACAAAATAGTACATTTCTCTCTCTAAACACATATAAGCTATTTACCTCTACAAAGTACTATTTGTTTTAAGGCCTGGCTGATAGGCGTGTCCAGAGTCTAGTAAAACAGTGCAAGAGGAGGTCATTATGCTGCCGCATTGCCTACCAAGGTGACAACAAAGCTACCTCAATTTTCACAAATATTTACCCCCTAGTCCCCAAAAAAGCAAAATTGGGGAAAGCAGTTTGATAAGGGGTTCTATTTTACTTTTCCAAGGAGTTACTACTAATGAACTTTAACAATTTTAATGTTACTTTGAAGTAGACAAAATCCTTTGAAGCAATTGGTAAGCTTTTCCTTAAGGTTCAAATATAGTCCATAAAAGTTTGCATCTGCAGACATGGCAGGATCAGAATCATCACTCACAACACTCCCCTCTTCTTTCTTAATACCCTTAGCTGATTATATCTTAGTGTTGGGGGAAAAAATTCCCAACAAAATTTCTGGGAAGTCTAGATTGGAACTAGTTTAAGATATTCCCAGTACTTAGAAAGTATCTTTTTTTGTCTTCAGAGACATAAGATCAACCTTTTTGTTTGTTTATAAACAGAGCAATTCAAGTCTCAATCTATCATCCTGTAGCCTGACCATCAATGTTGTGCCTTTAAATTATCTTCTATTTTGGAAATTAAATCCCTTTGGCTTCTTACCTTGTCACTTGCTTTTTTCCCAGATTTCTTCTTTTTAGGATTATCCTTCCAGAGAGATTCTACAGCTACATATCCTTGCAAACTCCAGTCATACAACCTTGAACCAGTGACCTTTAAAACAAGAGGTTAGAAGATCAATCAGTTTAAGAACCATCTGAGAAGGGTTTATTCTTATTACAATTTAAATGGTTTCATAATCCACCAAGACGCTTAAATGGGACTGCTTTACAAAACATTCATGCTGCTCAAGTATGGAATGTACAGCTTCACTAAAAACAGACCATAAAAAGGATGACAACAAAAAATACCCATACAAATGGTTTACTTTGATACAGTGTTTGGAACAAAGTATAAAGAGAGATGGATTTTAAAATAACCTTAAGCAATTCTGAAATGTAAGCAATTTAGGGGTTTTGAAACCCTAGTACACTGCATTCTATGCATTTCAGATTTTGAAATTTTAAAATAGATTTTAGTCTTTGTAATACCATCTTAGAAAGATTAGTAATATTTTCCCTATTGATTTTGCCACCATTTGACAATTTTATATTTCACAGCTTTGCTCCGACAACAGGAATCAACATAAGTAGCTCCCTTCTGATTACTTTCGTCAGTCCACCATCACCACAAATGTCAGCAAGATTATGCATAGTTCTCTGAAAAGTATCCGTTAGTAAACTCCTAATGTACAAAGGAACCAGTCAAGCCCACAGTTTTGGCTATATCCCACCAAAATGGAGGTGCCCCGAGACCCGCCCCTACTCAGCCTTCTCCCCCTGAAGCCCTGCCTATGACCCACCCCCTAAGGGGCCCTCCTCCCACACCTCTCTCCGCCCCCACCCCCAAGAGCCCCCCTGCCCGCAACTCTCTGCCTCTCAGGGCGTGAGTAGCAGGGGCCATATGGAAACCAACAGAGAAACGCGAGTGAGGGTGGGATGGCCGTGGGGGAAAGGGGCAGAGAAACAAGAGCAGCAGGGGGCCATGTGGGAAGAGCGAGATGCAAGAGCGGGGCCCTGGGGCAGAGCATGGGAGGGGCCATGGCCCGGGCACCCTTTCGGCGGTGGCGCTCCAAAGGCGGCAGGCTGGTGGCACGTCTCCAGAAGGAGGTGCGTCACATCCTGTTTGGGGAGGTTTAGCCTCCCCTGGCCTATTATACCCGCTGCCCCTGTCTTCAGCCAAAGGCTGAAAATGAAAAATGGCCTCATACTGGCCTTCTTTCAGATGGCAAAGAACAAAAGAAATGGACATTCTGCTTGCCTAGACCCCTACTAAATACAATTTTCAGACTGGAAGCTCTTCAGGGCATAGACTGTATCTTATGATGTTTGTACAGCAGCTAGCACAATGGAGTCCCAGCAGTTACCCCCGATCGAGTCCTGAACCTGACTGAGGCCTCTAGAGCAGTGTTTCTCAGCCAGGGGCATGCATACCTCTGGGGGTACGCAGAGATCTTCCAAGGGGTACAGCAACTCAGCTAGATATTTGCCTAGTTTTATAACAGGCTACATAAAAAGCACTAGTGAAGTCAGTGCAAACTAAATTTTCATACAGACAGCTTGTTTATACTGCTCTATATACTATACATTGAAATGTAAGTACAATATTTATATTCCAGTTGATTTATATTATATGATAAAAAGAGAAAGTAAGCAATTTTTCAGTAATAGCGTGTGGTGACATTTTTATGTCTGATTTTGTAAGCAGGTCGTTTTTAAATAAGGTGAAACTTGGGGTATGCAAGACAAATCAGACTCCTGAAAGGGGTACAGCAGTCTGGAAAGGTTGAGAGCCACTGCTCTAGACTATATTGTAAATTTTATGCACACACACCACACCACACTTTTGGAGGAGTGTGGATAACAAAATTGTGTGTGTGTTCCATCCAAACTGCAATGAGGAGCAACTTCTTCTCTATGGAGTACATAAGAAAGACTAGTTCTCCTTTTCTGACTGCTGTCAGATCTGCCATTCAAATCCAAATAGTTAGGATTTTTAGATGCAGGTCAGATCAACAGCTTGTCTGCCTATCTACAAGTTTCTAATGAACCCACCACATATCCTTGAGAGAGGGAAAATAATGCACAACATGCAGGAACCTTCTTCCTGCCTTAAAATCAAGTTGAATTTTCAAATGGTAAGAAGCAGCTGTAGCATTCCATTCTCTCAGTCACCCTTTGCAGGATCCTTCTCAGACCTTCATATTTACAATGCACCATTAACCTTTACTGTTTAAGCTAAGGGAAGGCTTCTCCATACAACGTACCCCACATCAGTGTGTAGTTAAAGATACACACCTTGTTACCATTTAGAATAGGAAAATGGACTAAAAAGGACCAATAACTGAGCCCAACAGGAAGTCATATCCATACACTGTACTTACAGACAATACAATTATTTTAAAACTAGATTCACTTTGAATACAGAAAAGAATTGTGACAAATAAGTTTTCTAGTCAGACAACTAGATCTGAGATGCAGGCCGTCTTTGGACAAGTTGTCTTAAAAAAAAGAAACACATACTTAGCCTGTTTGGCCACCATGTTAAACTAGTTTAAGTAGGTCAAATTTTAGATATAAACAAGTTGCTAGTTGGCATGGTGCATTGAGGGAAACAAGATTTTTATCTGCATTTGATGGTGGTATTGGGAGTAATAAAAGAAAAAAAGCAAACACCCAGAGACCTGGCAATGAATGTGCTATACCTCTCCAAAATCCGCACAGGCACTGAAGGTATAAACCTTTGTACTCTTGTCTAGCTTTTGAAATGTTTTCTCCCAAATATTCAGACAAACTAGTAAATAAATAAAAAATAAAAATAAATTAATGGAGATATCCTATCTCCTAGAACTGGAAGGGACCTTGAAAGGTCATCAAGTCCAGCCCCCTGCCTTCACTAGCAGGACCAAGTACTGATTTTGCCCCAGATCCCTAAGCAGCCCCCTCAAGGATTGAACTCTCAAGGCTGGATTTAGCAGGCCAATGCTCAAACCACTGAGCTATCCCTCCCCCTCCCTGTGCTTCAGAACAGTTTATACTTCATTAACAAAATATTCTGCTTCCTCTGAACATAGAATGCTGCAGTTATGTGGGGATCATCATTAGAAAGCTGCAAGAAGTGCAAACTTACCAGAGTAAAAATAAAAAGCACTCCTTTTATCTGTGGTGCCAGTACAAATATAGCTATCAAGACAAGATGAAGGAAAACCAACAACTGTCTGTAGGCAGCAGCTGCTTTTTCCTGGTTATAAAAATTCCTCCAGTACATGCTCTTTAATCTATACACAGCAAAGGGCAACACAATGCAAAAAAGTGTCAACTGTGATAAAGTACTGATTTAATCTCTTATTTTGGGTCTTTGCATTGTTTTTAAGACTGAAGATTTTCAAGCTGCATATGGGCTCAGTCCTGCATTTGTTACAAACCTAAATATCCCAGAGCTCACTATATTTGAGTTAATGGAATTCAATGGAGTTATGAATTATGGAGGACTGCAGAACTGGGCCTTATTTTCACATTTTGAAATTCTTTTTTGTGAGTAAGAAAACTGGGGAAATTTCTATCAGAGAAAAGCACTTACAGCATAAACAAAAACTGCAAGCAACAAACTTAGGGCTTCAGACAGACAGAAACAAAATGTTTCCAAAGCACAGACTACCCATTTAAATTATAATGTCCATCCCTTGTCTATATGCTTATAGCTCCAGGGGTATGTAATTTCTTAAGTGTTAGGTACAGTCCTGTAGATTTAACATTACTGTTTTTTCAAAAAATATTAGCTCTGATGGAGCTATGTTCAAGAGCTTTGCCACATTCCAGTTTCTCTCCTTTTACTTGCTGGAGTTGTCACGGCAAGTAAAAGGGAGGAATACAAAATCTCAGACTTTCAACAGAGAGCTTTCAGAAGACAACAGTTTCTCCAGGCCTTCAGAAAAGTATTTCAGTAACTCCAGATTTGGCTTAAACCGAAAGATGACAAAATATAGTTCCTCTTCATTAGCATGCCAAAATACTTCCTAACTTCCACTGAATTCAACATAAAAGAGCAAATATGTTTAACTCCACGGTAATATTTAAATAAACACTGAAAAGTCAGACTGGCAAGTTGTCAGGAGAGGTTCTGAAGAAACTTGAAAGTGGGCTTACGTTCTGCTTAGTGTGTCCCAAATATCTCTGGGCATAGTGCAATACAGTAGACCCACAGAGTTGCAAACACCTCAAGAATGGAGGTTGTTTGTAACTCTGAAATGTTGGTAACTGAACAAAACATTATGGTTGTTCTTTCAAAAGTTTACAACTGAACGTTGACTTAATACAGCTTTGAAACTTTATTATGTAGAAGAAAAATGCGGCTTTCCTCCCCCCCTTTTTTTAGTAGTTTACGTTTAACACAGTACTGTACTTGCTGCTTTTGTGTGTGTCTCTCTCTGCTGCTGCCGGATCGTGTACATCCGGTTCCAAATGAGGTGTGTGGTTGATGGGTCAGTTCGTAACTCTGGTGCTCGTAACTCTGAGGTTCTACTGTAGCCCCAAGCACATAAACAACTTTTCCCTTCTTATTGTGTACATAGAAAATTAACTACAGTATTCTATTTCAATACATATCGGTTATCAAGCAGGATTAAGGGTAATGGCTCTCTATCAGTACAGCCTTGTGGGAACCTTAACTGAGAATTTGCTGACTTTTTAGCATTTATATCGTAACCTTTAAACAATGTAGTCAGTTTAGTTTATTGTCAAGGGAATAAATCTTGACAACAGCTGTGAACTGGCAAAGTTTTTTCCTTGGAGGAAGCAGTGAGCATGAATCAAAATGACTAGTACGTGTGCTGTATTATGCAAGTTGAGAAGACTCAATACTGAGAAGGATTATTAAAAATGACTGAAAACTTTTCTATGGTGCAAAGAGGTTGATTTTGGTAGGTTAGTAGCAGATGCTTTTTCCAGATTGAAGCTGAACCAGAGGTAAGTGCAAAATTCAGGTAAGTGTAATAACAGATCTATTTTTTATCTTGGATAGAAAGCAGAACAGCTTTAACACACCAGTGGAAGTTCTGCCAAAGCCACAAATATCAGAACAATCTGCCCAAGTTTGTCTGCTTGGTGCAGGTCAAA